TGGTAGCAATAACAAGGCAAATGATGGAGCTGTACAATTTTTGGCTGGGTACCTTCAAACTCACCATTCCACTGTCTCCCTGCTAGGATCCATACCAAGATGGACATGATAAGGAGAGTGGGTTTATCACTCACGTCCTCACCTCATGTCCTGCACGTAGAGGCAGGAGGAAAGGAGAGCCAGTTTCAGTGGGAGGCAGCAGGCAAGCGAGGCAGCAAGCAGGACGGTAACAAGCTGGAGCAGTGCCAGTGGCATGTGGCTGGGGAACCACTGGGGCCACAAGTGCCATGGCACATTATTGGGATGGCTTCCACCCATGTGAAACTGCCTCCATCGCGGAAACCACACCTGAAATACTTCTCCAAAATTGCTTTAGATAGAAATACCTCTGCAAAATTGCTTCCAATAAGCAGTGATTCCTACCCTGAGGAGCTGGAGATGTGTCCAACACCAAACTCCTCCTTTTCCTGGCCCCAACCACTAACTTGCTGTAAGTGAGGGTGGTACAGACAACTCTATCACTATTAACTACAGTGAGATGTCTGAGACAATGGGAACCCCCTTGGTGCAGCAGTATTTGAGGTACTTGGGGTGATGCCCAGATGTGTTTTACTTGGCCCCATCCACAGGCTTCCAGGAGCCCCTGTGTCACTGCCCCCTGTGCCAGCAACACGCCAGGGCAGCCATGCAAGCTGGGGAGAAAAGTAGTAGGGCAGGCAGAAGCCAAGCAGCCACCATGGAGCCACCTGGAAATTATAAAATAGGCAGAGTAGGCACCTATTTTTGTGAAAATGATCTGCAATTAGATATTAACTGGTTCAGACCATGCGCAGCAAGATAATGCAGGCTTGAAAACAGGCACGAAGCACAACTTCACACACATGTTATAAAAGGGGGTATCCTAATTGAGTGTTAAAAATGGGAAATCCTATGGCTGAAAGAAGGAACATCCATCACAAGGAGATGGCACCTCCACGGTGAGAGAAAAAACAACAATTTCACAACTGTTGAACCTACTCAGAAAGTGCTACATTTTAAAGCTTTTCTTGAACCTGGGATGTTTTCTTCTTAACTTAGCAGACCCTGAGGTCCTTATCAGTGCTGGAAGTTTAGACAACTTGGCAATCTTCCTGAACATTTTCTTTAAAATGAATAAACCTGACAAGCACAACACAAGTTACAAACTGCCTTGACTTCCAGGAATAAGAGGATGGTTCAAAGAATGCAAGTCTGGAGCCCCTGATGGAAAAAGAGCATATCTTACAGCAGAGCCTTCCCATCCACACCCACATTTTTTCAGTCAATTTTCTACCCCCTGCACTTTCGCTACCAGGTAGTTGAGATGTCCCCGTGCAGGAAGACTCATTCCAACTGGCAGCTCTGGATCAAAGAGCACTGGAAGCATTAATCAGTGTGCCTAATCATTTCCAATCGCAAGAAACTTTTCTCTGTGACCTGGCATATAAACACCGAGTCATTTCATTCACTGGCTGACGGACCAGAAACCAAACAATCCTTATCGTACCTAATTCATCTTACTCCCGCGGGTTATAGATGGATCAGCCTCCAATCCTCCAGCAGCAGTGGCAAACTTTAGGTGCTTTACTTAATCAAACTGATTAGCAACCTGTCTGTAGCACCTTTTATCTGCTGGTGCCAAAGTAGTTTACAAGCATTAAGTGCACCTAATTTTGTGATAGTGAAGCAAGATGTGGTGAGTACATTCAAAAGCACCTCCAGTAATGCGGGGGAGCTCTTGCTTTAAGGGGGTGAGGAGGTTCAAGGTAGCAAGTTTTGCTGAAGCATTGAAAATCGCTTTGAAAATTAAACGAGCGAATGGCAAAGTTAGGGAGGGAGCCCAGGAATTTTGATTGCCAGATATCTGTGCAGCCCATATACTACCATATGGTTTGTTGCAAAAGGAAAAGAATAATCAAACCAGACATTTGTGCCCAAAGCCCTTATCTATTTGGGCACCATCCTCTGGACAGTCACACTCTGAGCACAAATAAAGGGTGATGAGATCTCCTCTCCCCTTGGTGGGTCCAGAGGGGGATATGGTGCCTCCTGCACTGGTTCAGGTTAATATATGTGTGATTGCCACCTGTTTGGGAGTTTGCTCCCATGGTAACACTGATTTCTTACTTAATGCCAAGAGCAGAACAACAGCCCTCTCACTGTTGCAAGGAAAGCTCACAAAAAGCTGAGGTTGCTTTAGCTTTCCTCAGTTTTGCACTTGGGTGCCCCCGACTTGGGGAAAAAAACACAGAAATAATTATGCCAAAGGTCAGCCTGTTCCAGGGCAGCTTGTTCCCACTTTGAAGGAGAGAGATGGTGAGGGGTGGCACAGGAACCTGCTGCTACACCTGACAGACTCTCATGGGTAAGAGCCGGTGATGGAGCCCTACAGGAGCAGTTTGCAAACTTGCACAATCTGCCTTGAACTCTGCCCAAAACTATCCCATTCTTTTCTTCAGTGCTTGGTGCCAGAGGCAATCCAGCTCCCTTTCTGCTCTCTCCTGGACACAAAGTAATATTTCTTACCTTGAGAGTAGGTGCCTTCATGGAGAAGCGTGGGGAGGTGAAGAAAGGCTGGAAGAGATGCACAAGCACAGAGACTTCCCTCCTACATCAATTCAACTCCATCTGCTGAGATGGAAAGTTAAACGAAGGATTTCCTGGTGGAAAGGCTGCCAACCTGAAGCTTGGGAGAGCTAGTTTTCAACACCTGCTCAGCCACAAGCTTGCTGCCTGGCCTTGCACAAGTCACTCAAAAGCCAGATGTATAATGGTACTGACATATCTGGCTCCTGGAAGGAAGTCCATGACACCAAGCTCGTTGGCTGCAGAGGATTAGGCATCTATGAATAAGTTTGGCACAAGGCAACACATCCAACAATGGCTGCCAACCAGGGTAAGAGGAGATGCAAAACAACAGGAACAAATCTCCCCCAGGTCTCTGCCATTTCAATCACATGTCTCTGAGGGAGCCTTTTGGTGGGGAGGGCAGCAAGGGGCCGATTCACTCTCTGTTGGTGCAGCACCTGCAGTGGCTTAGCACATTATCAGCCCTTCCTCCCATCTCCCTGCCCCAGGTTTCCACAACTGTTCACAGACCCCAAACTGTGTTTTATCCCTTTGATTCCCAGTCCCAATCTGCTGCAGAGGCTCATAAACATGACCAGACAAGCACAGGACAGACAGGACAGCTGGGAGCAGTAATACTTTCACAAACTTTAGGGAGCAATGCCAGAGCTGGTCCCTGGGTAACTTTTCTCTCTCTGCAGATGGCCAGGGACAGGGATTTTGTAGCTCTGCTTTTCACCTGGTGGTCAGGCACCAGGAAAAGGGAGGCTTTGGATATGGAGTTGTGCACAAACTCTAGGCAGCTCTCAAAAGGCAAGTAGAGCCATATCTCCCTCACATTATGTGCAGAGAGTGCTGTTTCCTTGCTGACCTGGCTGAGATAGCATTAGGTTTTGGTAGTATTTCCATACCCTGGGGCTACAAGGTCCAGAGCAGGTAGCAGAGAGCCACTCCAATGGTGTCATTGCCATGCTAACCCCAGGCTGGACACTCCCAGGAGCATCACTCCAAACACTGGGGAGCTGTATCAGCATCCCACACGCCTTCTGGGTTTGCTAGCATTTTTGTAGCTGCTCAGCTATCACCAAAATGGGAATAAGGACAGAAGACAGAGGCAGTGTCTCAATCTCACAGTGTGAAAAGCAGAGACAGGCAGAGACTGAAATATTCCCTCATATCAACCATTCAAAAATCCCTCTTTTTCTGTACATAACCAGCTCGTGTTGCACCTTTCCTAGGCACTGGCTGAGGATGACAGTGAGGAAGGTCTCAGCAGCTGTAACACTAAGATCACCCTTCCCTTTACCTGACAAATGCAAAAAAAAAAAATTAGGGACTCATGGAAGAAAAAGTGCTTCTGCTGTAAGGCCAAAACTGGGAATGCCAAAGTCATGAGAAAGTGAACTGTTTTGATAGTGATGAAGAAATGCCACTAAACTCCTGAACCAATCACAAACCACGCAGCCTGTGCATGCTGAACAGCCTTTCTGACAAAAGCAAGGGTCAGTTTCTCAGCTAGTACAAATCAAACAAAATCCATCAAGGTCAACAGAGAAGCACTGATTTCCTCAGGTAAATCAAACATGGTTCTCCTGCTGCTTCTTCAGGGAAGACAGCAACTGTGGAGATGATTTTTCCAAACCCAGATGAAGCTGCTGGCATGCCTTCCCTGCAAGCAGAAAGACAGAGCTGCTGTGGAGAAGAGCAGCTTAGCAAAATCTTGGATGAATCATAGCCAAAGGTCCATCTTCCTTCAGGTCAAAAGAGATGTGGGTGAGCTCGCTGGGCCCTAGCATTGCAGCTGAGCTCCCATGCAGCTAACTGAAGGTGATATACCCTTCCTTTGAGCAAGGCTTTTTGAGCTCAGCCTTGGCATTAATGCAAGCTCCAGAGCTCATGGACCAGAGCAAGCATCTGTCTGTCTGTCTGTCTGCATTTATCTGCACTGATGGGCTCTACACAAGAACTAAGTGCTTGATGCAGTTGTGACTGTGAGAAGCACACGCTGCTGTCATATCAAAGGGAGCCAAGGAAAATGGGGAGAGAAGCACTGGGGGCTCCTTTTTTCCTCATCCCCTTTCAGTGACTGGAAATTCATTACTGGTAACACAAAAAATACGGTAAGACACACTAAAACACCCAAGTCTGGGCACACCATCAGCGCAGGATTGCTGCTAGCCTCTCCTGTCCTGACCTGCTGCATTTTGAAGTTTCCATGATTACCCTTCCTATTCTGTACTTATTCATTAATGGGATTTGAAAGTGGGTCAAAATGAAACACTTACCATTTTGCTGAATCTTAAATAAAAAGGAAAAATTGGAGATAACCAAAACCCAATGCTTGGCCTCTCCTCATCCTCACTTTTCTTTCGACATCAGTTTGTTTATCAGAATGCAATCAACTTATGGAAACCTTTATATGTGAGTAAACATTTTAATTCCAAAAAAAAGTTAAATAAAACAAAAAAACAACACTGAAGAAAGAAAAGGGGAAAAAATCACAGCTTTTTTGGTCCCATGAAATACATCTGATTTGTTCAAAACTTAGAATGAAATTCAGGGATTAAAAAAATTTATTCCCCCCCCCCCCCCCCCCTTCTCATGTTTTCTGTAAAAACTCACACTTTTCAGATGGTTCAAAGATACACCATGGATGTGAGGCTTATAATCACATCATCACCCCATGCGTTAAAAAATAAACATGAAACATTATGCCATCCATCAGTGAATTAATGTCAAATAGGTGAAGGAGGTTTGTACTTCAGTTATTCAATCGGCCAAAATTAAAAAATTAAAAAAAACACCAGAAAATCAAGGTGTGTTGTGCCCAGGAAGGAGGTTGTCCAGAGGCCCTGGAGCATCACTCTGCCTGGGGAGTCTGGCCAGGCCTCAGCATGCCAGGGAGTGACAGAGCCTTGCATCCTCTTGGGGTCCAGCAAGGGTTCGTGGCACCCCAGCTGCAGCCAGCAGGATGGGTACACACAGGAAGGAGAAAGCTTGGCGCTTCTTTGGCAGCTCAGTAGCCCTTCTGAAGAGCACATGGGAATCTTCTTCTCAGCAATGTCTTCCTGGAAGGAGCATATAGATTATGGTTTGCTGCAAATAGTCCACTGACATCATCTTCTCAAAGCTCAGAGATTTTGAATTTGATTTTTACTGACTGTTGCTTTATCCACTCAGATACCCTAATCTGAAGTTGAGGCAAAGTGATCACACCTCTGAGGAGTTTAGGGTTGGGAGCATTGGTTCATCAGCCTTTGCTGCAGGCCATTTTGCCAGCAAACCAGGACATTTGGCAAGAGTCCTGCTGCTCCTCACCATTGGCAAGAGCCCTCCCTCCATCACTGCAAAACAGGCTGTAGCCTGGGATGTAGCAGCCCCAGGACAGTTACCTTGTTGGAACTTAGCCCTGAGGACATGCACCCATAGCTGCTTCCCCAACATGGCATGTCTGGAGAGACTCGGATGCAATAAGCTAGGGTGCATGGAAAGAACTGGCAAATCATTTTAACAGGTTGAAAACAAACTTGTGGACATCTGCCTCCTTTCCAAGCAGCTCACAAAAAGAAAGGCTGCAGAATGTGGGTTTGCTTTTTAATAACAAACAAAATACCCCAACTCTTTCTAAATAAAGACTTACCACAGATTGCCATCCCCTGTGCTTATCTCTTTTCAGATTGCTGTCCTTTCATTCTTCTGAAGGCAGGTGCAGTGCCCAGTGCTGCACTGCTGGGGTTCAGCAAGTGGGTCAGGCTTGGTACAGGACCTCCAGGGACTGCTCAGCTGCAGAGAGCTGATTAAAGTTTCCATATTATTTTCATCTAGGATGGTGTCAGACAGTTCTGAATTAGGTGCTTTGTTCCAGTAACTCCTGCTCACTCATGCAGGCAATGAGAGGGGAGTTCACCCCATGCAGCTTCAGACATCCAAAGTGCAGGAGTCCATATCTTAGCCAGCTTTCTGGTCTCCCACATATTTGCTGGAGGACAACAGTCATCACCAGAGGGAACCTAATGTTAGATGCCTGCCTTAAGATGAGACTGCTCCAAAGCATTTTGACCTGATAGTTTACACTATGCCCAGTGTTGCAGCAGATCTGACCTAGCCCAGGGATCAAGGGAGGAAGGTGTTGGGGAGTACCAGAGCTCTGAGCATAAAGGCAGAAAGACCCAAATGATCCACCCCACCTTTAGTACACTGCACATCAGTCCCTTTCACCCAAGACCTCTACATAATAAACCCAATATTATAGACTAAACCTACAACCCTAGAGAGACATTGTTATTTCCTCAAAAATTTGGAAAAGGACATAAAACTTCTAAGTGTTCCTCCTTACCCCAAACCTACTGAACAAAACTTCTCCTCCACTAGACATGGCAATCAAGTCACCCCTTTGCCTACCTTCATCCCAATTAACCAAATACACTGTGCTCCTCAAACCTGGAGTTCTGGTCTGGCAATCCCAAGTCATCTGTGGCTTTCCTTTAAATTATTCCTGGCATTTCCCCTTCCTTCATCAAGTGCAGACACCAGGCAATGTGTCTCCCTTTAAAAGGGAAAAAGTCACCTCCCTTCTTCTACTTGCTCTCCAGAGTTGCAGAAGTCCATTCTGTCCCACGGCTCCTTTGAGACGTCGCTTTCACATGATTATACACGAAGTTCCCATGAACTCCCTCCCTGACACTGTGCTTCCCAGATGGGCTCACAAAGACTGTAGACAAAATCTGAATTCTTTGTTCCCAACTACACACATTCAACTGCCATAAATAAGTGTAAGGTAGGGGTTTTTTTGTGTTGGTGCTATTTAATCATATACTAGCCTACAAGGGCTGATTACATCCTTACTACTAAAGAGTGTGAGGGGATATTCCAAAACATGGGGATTCAAATCATGTCAGATGTTACACTTCTCACCTTCTTGGCTCATGTACCCAGCACATTGCTGAATGAAGGCCAACACAGACCATTCCCAATAACCAGCTTGTTGCAGTCCCCCAACACAGAAATCAGGAGAGTTTATGCCCTACAGATACAGGTCATCCCATGATGCCTGGCAAAGTGCCAGCAAACCTTGAGTGCATCAAACTGTCTTGTCACACATACCAGGGCTCTGCTACAAATGGGACATTGGCCTATTGATCTAGACCAGTTTGAAACCCTGAAAATCTGACTGAAGTCCTGCTGAGGTCTGGATAGAAGTCTTGCTATAGGACAGGAAGAGTTTCTTTCTTACAATGGAAAGTGGGTCCAAGCTACTGCAAAGATAAGTCAAACTTGGGATGTCACTGAACTGCTAAATCTCCCAGTGCCAGGTGGGACCAAGTCACCAGCCCCATCTGGCAGGGAGGAAAGGGCTGCAGGTGGTAAGCCATAGAATTATAAAATGGTTTGGGTTGGAAGGGACCTTAAAGATCATCTGGTTCTAAATCCCATGCCATGGGCAGGGACACCTTTCACTAGACCAAGCTGCTCAGGGCCCCATCGAACCTGGCTTTGAACACTTCCAGGGATGGGGTATCCACAACCTTTCTGGGCAACCTCACCACCCTCACAGCAAAGAATTTCTTCCTAGTACCTAGTTTCTAATTTAAACCTACTCTGTTTCAGTGCTCTCTGCTTGTGCCTGCATTTTAATTCTGCATACTGGGCAAGAAAGTGACATTATTTCACATTATTTTTATTTTCCTTATGTTTCTGTCACATGACTTTCGTCTTCTTTCCCCCAGTTATTGCATTTCTCTGTGATTTCCCAAACTGAGCTTTTTTCTGTCTTTGCCTTGCTGTAGGATCCCATGGGGCACAATTCCCATGGGTTATGCTGCAGTTATGAGCCGGTCCTCAGATGTTTGTTAAATCAGGGCTGGCATTAGGCATCATTCATTCCTGTGGTCATGGAAGGCCCATAATAATCAAGGTAGAGTTGCTTTGGCCACCCATACTGAAATTTAAATAACAAGCCCAATTTCATCCTCCTTCTGGAACAATTTGGAAGCAACACCACATGATGAAAGGATGAGAGAACAGATGGGTTTTGTTGTCTGCATGCTACCAAGGCAAACTTTTCATGGAAAATTAAAAAACAAAACAAACAAACAAAAAAAAACCTAAAAACCAAAACACCGTGACTATGTGATTCATAAATTCTAAAAGCCAAGAGAAACCAGCAAAATTATTTTGTCTGACCTCCTGACTAATAAAGACCACAGAATTTCATGCAGTGATTTCTGCCTGAATCCCAGCCATTTGCGGTTCAAGCAGAGTATCTCAACCAGCCCACTGTCCAGCTTTGATGTGAGGATGTCCAATGAGGTGCTAACCACTTCCCATGCTGTCAAAAACTGGCTCTTCGACAGGTTGCCTGCATCTCTTCACCACCACATAACTTGTTGTAGCCTTCCTAAGGCCATTACAATTTTTAAGCATTTTTGTCCTCTCTATCAAAACTCTCAAACCATCAAAAAGAGAGAAAACAGAGGTTCTGAGGCACAAAACATCAACAATGTACATGGAAAGAGAAGGATAACAGAGCATCTCTGTGTAGCCTTCTGCTGTGATTAAATGGATGAAATCTACATTAAAATGCATCTCAAGGTCCACCCATTTTCCCACTCCAGATGACACAGTGTAAAAGTTATTTTGGTTCAAAACAAACAAAAAAATTCCAAATGCACACTTATCTGTGTGACTGGTAAGGAAAGCACGTATGTTTGGTTACAAAAGTAACTGACACTTACAAAGCCTGCTACAGTTTCACAGCAATAAATATTCCCACAGCAGAGACCTTGAGTGGACAGAACAAAATCAACTTCAAAACCAATCCTTGAGAGATTGGCCACTGAAAAGACAGCTCACTGCTGAATACCCACTCTGACGTTTTGTTTCCAAATTTCTGTGGCTGGTAGCACTGATGGGGTAAAGAAAACTCTTTTTGTGTTTTTTTTTCTTTCCTTTTTTAAGGAAACAAACCCAAAATGGAAGAAGTCCAAAAGGCTACAGGACCACACTCCTCTAAGATGACAAATATTTATGTTGAGCACTGACTTAATACAAGCTCTTCTTCCTTGTATCTTGTTAAGTGCATTTGATGACAAATGATGATTAAAGTTCCTCCACCCATAGAGCTATAACAGCCCAGGTGACAGCCTTGAGACCTCTCAGCCTTCTTGAGACATCAGCCTGTGTTGGAGGATGGGAGGGGGCTTCAGGTACCATGTCCTAAAGCCACTTCCATTCCTGTTCACCACTAAGTAACCATATTCACCCTTAATAAAATCAGAACAGAAGGTTCATTCCAACAGGGTCTCTTTTATTGCCACTTTCAAAGAGATGCTTTCTTACTTTCTGCCTGCATTTGTGCTATGGCCAAACTCAGGCTGGAAAGCAAATTCTCAGAATGTCTATCTACAGTTCCATGGTTCAGACTCTGCTGGGATGAGTCTGGCTCCATTTTCTGCTCCCCCCTGGAGGGATTAGTCTCACCTGCAGAGAAGGTAAAGGTGCAGCTCCAGCTCGTGGAGGTGCTGAGCTGGCTGTGGTCAGCATGTGATGATGATAAATGCACTGAGTGTTTGTGTACGGTGTCTCAGGGGCCTGAGGCCCACATTTAATTACACACTGTTACAGCCATACTCTTTGTGGCACCCATTCTAGTGAGGTGATAGCAGTAACACCTCTGGTCATGGCTTTCTCAGCCATCCATGAGCTCCTGATGCCTACACAGGACACAGGACTATGGCAACAGGAGCAGCACCCAATGGGAGAAGAACAGCACATGTAGGCTTATGAACTAGGCACTCTTCTAACAGGCCAGGTCTACACACACCATCTAGTGCTTTATTGTATGTGAAATTTCAGACTGTTTCAAGGCAGAGTTAAGGTGCTCTTCTTTAAGGTTTAAGGCACCAGCATCTTGTGTGTGGAAGCTCTCACATCAATTAACATCCTGAGTTGTGGTGTACAGGTGCAATCCAAACTGGCACAACCCGCGTGAAACGAAAGCTCATCTGAAGCAGGAATGGATTTAACCTGTTTCTGTACCCACAGATCTGCAGAAATCAATGCTGTCATAATGTAAGATGCTGTATGGTCACGTAACGGCACTAACTCTGAAGGAATTCATGCTTAACTGTTCAGCAGAAAAGGCATTGCTTCTGAAAAAAGCCTAAAGCACTGTTCTTTGAGGTTCTGGGTAACCAACAGTTAAAGCTCTGCTTTCAAATCATCCATTCTGAAGTGGTCATAGGTGGCAAAAGTAGTGATCCTCATAGTGCAGCAGCACAGAATATGGACTGAAACCCCACAGCCAGTTTAAGGATAAGCCTCACAGTTTCCATTACTGCTACTGTAATGATTTTGCAACTCTCATTTATTTTTCACCATTTCAGCTGCTAGTTTGTGGCAAATATTTTGGGGAAAAAAAAAAAAAAGAACCCAAAGCCCCAGAGACTGCCCATCCTTGACAGGAACAGTCCTGGCATGCCTGGAATGTGTAAAACCACAAAAGAGCCATTTCTGTTCATATTACTCCTTATGAAATCCCCTTTTAAAGGAGACTTAGCATGGGAGGCTTCAGCCACTCAGCAGAGCCCCTTTAGGATTGCCTTTCACTTTGAAATGTGACTTATCAGCCAGAGCCCAGACGGGTTTGGGTATCTGACTGTTGTGCCCTTCGCATCGAACTCTGGGACCGTTACATGCACAGCTGACAAAATGGTCAAGCCATTTTCCTCCCCTCCTTCATCCCCAGGTTCAGGGTAGATAAAAGCTTCACCAGGCTTGCTGCCTTACCAATGCCAATTTGACTGCTGATTTTACTTTTAAGAAAAAACCCAAATAATAAAACCCAACACCACACACAATGATTATCACTGTGACCACAGAAAGGCCAGAGCAACCACAGTGTGATTCAACAACACCCAGGCTGCAGTGGCTATCTCTGGACACACATGAGAATGTTCTCTGGCAACAAAGTTTTGCAGCTCTCTGACACGTCCTCTTCTCGCGCTCTTTCTCCGAGTCTTTTTTTCACCCTCACAACTTGTTGTAGCAACAGTGCAATTCTGTAGCTGGCAGCAGGATGGGAGCCTGGTGTGAGTAAGGCTTTGATGAGCCCCTTGCACTTATAGGGATACCTACTGGGCAAATGCCCAGAGAAGTTGTGGATTCCCCATCCCTGGATTCAAGGCCAGTTTGGAAGGGACTCTGAGCAACCCAGTCCATTGGAAGCTGTCCCTGCCCATGGCAGAGGGGTTGAACTAGATGATCTTTAAGGTCCCTTCCAACCCAAACCAGTCTGTGATTCTATGTGAATTTGCTTTGCTAAGTGAGGAAGTGACCAACTCATGCCACAGCATTAGTGTAGTGCTGTGCACAGCACCTCTTGAGGTGCCTCAGGAGGGTCAAATCCTGCTCCTGTGTAAGTTACTAGATCAACTTTTTCTGGCTTCTTTTTGCTTTTTACCTCTCCTCATTCCTTTCCTGAGCTTTCTGAAAGTTTCTGGGCTTCCCAGGTAGACCATCACTATAGGCACATGGCAATCTGCAGTGTGAGGTTCATGCCTAGCTTAAACTTCAGAAAGCACTAGAGCAATCCAGGGCAAAGATAAAACACAGGGACCGTTAACACCAACCTCCAGCATTTACTGCCTTTTGTTTGTTCAGATTGACATGGAGCCCTGCAAAATGCAAGTAGCACTGTAGTTCATGAGTAAGAGGTCTGGCAGGACAAACTTTAAAGACCATAAGAAAGCACAGGCAAAGAAGTATCTTGTACAGAACTGAAAAAAGAAAAGATAAATGATAAGCAGGAATTCCCCAGTGGGTTGAGTTTATCAGTGTGATTGCTTACAGGACTTTTTTTCTTGTACTGCTTTGATTTGCATACAAAGCATCTCTAACAGGAAATATCATCTGTCCTGGAAAAAAAAACCCAAGAAGGATAAGGATTTTTACTGTCAAGAGTAAAATGGCTTTTGGCACTGTATGACATGCCAGAAAGCCTCTCTCCTCAAGAAAGCAACTTGCAGTGGCACATTGCAGCTCCTCTTCACTCCCTGCTCTGCATCCCATCCCAGGGGCAGCAGTGTGTGATGCAGCTCCTCAGGAGAGCTTCCATAGTTAGAAAATCTGAAAGTAAAAGAAAAACATGCAGGTGAGTTGATTTGCATTCCAGATTCACAATTAACACAGCACCAAATTAACTTACAGGAAGTGGAAGAGTAAAAAGGAAAACCGCCAACTAGAAAATGCAAATCTTCACCCTACTACAATCACAGGCCACAGCCAAGACTCCTACAGGCTGGGAAGGCTCTAGTAAGAACACATTTTTCACTACTTTTTCAATGTGGTCACTTCGTGAACTCAACAGTGGCTTGTGATATGTGGTTTTATTCCTATCCATATACAGTCAGTTTCATTTCCTGAAAAGAACATGAACAGAAAAGCAGAAAACCTTTAAAACGATTGTACAGGTCTTTCTGTCTTTTCTTTCTCCTTTTTGTCTTTTATTACTACCTTGATGCACTAAAAAAACCCCAGCATTTTTTAAATTAGTACAGTATAAAAAATAGATCTTTTCCCAAGGCTCTTGGTTCTTAAGATAGGTTGCTGCTCTGAAACACAAACTAACTTGGCAGCACAGCATGAAATTGCAGCATTTTGTTTCAGTATGGTACACAAACATAGATACATACTATTCCTCTGCACATGGCTACCAGGAGACGTGCTTCAACCCCAGCAGGGAGACCAAAAAGTAAGATTTGTTCCACAACCCTTTGCACTGGTATTGCAGGACCTCAGCTATCTGTGGCCATCAACAGTCACAGCCCCACGGGAAGCACAATGGCAAGTAAAATCTTGCTTTACAGATGAGTAAGTGAGACGATGGTAGTTATAACAATACACCTCTTGGCTTTTTTCTGCAGAACTCAGGTCATCGCCTCATCTGTCTGGGCTCTGTCCCTCTTCCTGTGGAAGCCTACATCACTAGCAGGGAGAACAGCAGGTCTTTGCCACTCCAGGACTCCTCCATGTTCCTTTTCCCTCAGGCTTTCCCAGCACAGTTACAGGTCCTATTTAAGTGATCATCTAGGCCCAGCCCAGTGTCCCAGCCAAGCAGCTCTGCTGCTGCTCGAGGGCTGGGATGGGAGTTGTTGGGACTACAGGCCAACTGGGACCTTAGTAAAGAAACCGCAGCAAAGACCAACAGCATGCTGGGCTGAAGAAGCAGAAGCACAGGCAGGAGATCTCAGTACTCACCTGACTGTATCTAGATACCGCACCTAGTTTTGGTGCAAGAAACATGCACAATAAACACACTGACAAACTAGAGCAAGTGCAGTGAAGGAACACTAGGATGGCCAGGGACTGGTGGACTTGGCTGAAGAGAAGAGGGTGTGGGAGCTGGGCTTGCTTAGCCAGGGCAAGAGATGGCTTTGAGGAATCCAGCAGCAGCCCTAGCAGCTGCAGGGAAGTTACTGAGAACACAGAGCCAGGTTCACATAAAGCAGGACTTGACCAAATAAAGTCATGAGCAACCTGGTCTGATCTCACAGCTGACCCACCCAAGATCCCTTTCAGCCTACATTATCCTACAGGCCATCTTCTAACTGCCACCAGTGCAAAGGCTTTGGAGGAAAGGGTGGGAATCAGTGCTTGAGGACCGCGATATCATCCAAATGAAAGACTTGGAGAAACAACCATATCCCAAGACTGTGAAGGCCCAGATGGCACTGCTGACACCACACCTTATATTCCCCTCAGGACACAACAAACCCCACTCTTGCATGCAGTCTCACAGTGATCTGCATGCAGCTGTTCATCTCAGTTTGGCCAAGGAATCTTTCCCCATCATCCATCTGCAGCACACACAGGACCACCTCCCTCTCCTATGCACGCACATATTTTTTGAACAAGCAGGACTGCTTAAGGCCCATGTACAGCATGCCACAAAACGGCTCTCCATAATGCACAGGCTGCACCTTCTATTTCACAGGATGGAGAGGCCTCAAGAAACCTTCACTGCCCCACAAACTGCGATGCTCTGGTGCAGGATGAACAAACTACACTGTCAGCACAGCTGTCCCCTCCTCTCCATTGCTTGTGTCATAAAGGGTGTTGGAGCAATGTCTTTTTTCCAGTCAAAATAACTTATATGGCTAAAAGACAGGAAATGCCACAACCGAAATGGGAAGAGATCTTACAGGCAGCAGTACTGAGCTCTGTCTTCTCAAATAGATCCATACAAATCACAAGGCAACTATCACATGCACTTGGTGGGCAGGAGAGGAGGAGGTGGAAAAGGAGAGATTCATCTCCTCACCCCAGGTCACCCAGGAGGTCAGTGGCAGAGCTGCAGAGTAACTGCCTTCCCTCTATCCCAGAGTCTTGATGCTTGCTCCCTGTCCTCTTCATGTCTCTGCTTGATAGCCAAGCCAAGCTAGGAGGTAAAGCTGCCCTCTTCATAGTGCACATAACCATATTTCTTTCTGGAAACCATTGCCTAAGGGAAGTCAGCTCCCCACCAGAAGTCAGTCCCGACCAAATATCATCTTTCATAAATGCAAACTTGCATCTGCATTAAGAAACCTGCCAGCTTTGACAATATGCTCACCAATGTGTTTTGAGATGTGATCTAGTCTCATGGGGTCTTATGGGGCTCTAAGGGTTTATCCACATGTGAGGTTTTTTAGACCTGGAAGTGATACCAGCAAGCATTTTTACACCTTCCTATTCATAGGGTTTTATTTTCAGTACAGAAGAAGGTATCAGATCACTCAGTTTCAAATTCTGATGAAATTCCTGTGTGATCCAGGACAGCTAATTTCAAGCAGTTCTGAGTCCCAGTAGTGACTTGTGCTAAACTAAATTTCTGTAACTGCACCCATACCAATGTCTGCACAAATCAGCAAGAGAAACCACAGGTTCAGTCAGAATTAGTACCTTGGTACAGAAATAAAGATTAAAAAAAGCCATCTCCTACTTGTTGATAGGTGAGCTCTTGAAGCCAGATATGCCTTAAGAAACAACCTCCCTCTTCTCTTCCACCCTCCCATTCCTCCATCCTTTGAGCTAGTTCTTAGGGTAATACTTTGCAGCCTTGTTTGCCAGAGGAGAAGGATGCTTTCTGTCTGGGAAGTTGGGAAGACTGTGTTGGAGCAGAGCAGACCCCGGGCATGCAATTACCCAGGCAGCAGCAACAATATGTTAATTCACTGGATCACTCTGAAACGAAGCACAGTGCAAGTCCCTGGAAAAAGTGAAAAGGAGCCTGTTAAGAAAACTGTGTGAAGGCCTTGTGCACTGCAGCCCCTTGGAGTCCAGACAAGGACGGACTTTGCACAGACATCGTTTTTAGACCTGAACTGGCAGCCAGCATGCATCCTCTTCCCACCACAGGGCATCCAACAGGAGCAAGGGGAACCATGCTCAGTGCTGACAGGGGACATGGGACAGCAGTCGTATTTTAAAAGAGCTGTAGACACATGGTTTAGCCCCTGCAAGGGATGCCTCATCTGGGCAGATCACAGCCATAAGGCCACGATGCCATGCACCCACTGTCAGTATCCAGAGCTTTCTCGCACTTTCAGGAGAACACTCTCCTCCTCAGTGTCCTCAGCTGCTGAGTTCATGTCCCCTCTATTCAGTTGCTCAGATACCCTTAGGTAACACCTGTCCTCCAACAACAAACAACAAAGTCAATATAGCAAGGAGAGAAGGAGATTGAAATGGTCCTTCGGTGAATTTGCCGCGAGAAGTCAATGCCCTCAGAATGTCCACACTGACTGACTACCTCCTGGTGCATCATCCTTCTACTACTGACCTGCTAACTAATTCATCTAACACCCGGCTAGAAACTACGGCCCCACGATGGCATCATGATGGAAGTAGTCTTGCCCTCCCAAACCAGAAGGGGTGCCTTGCTCCAGGCAGGAAAACCAGCCTCCTTCCTCAGGAAAAGTGGCAGAGGAAGAATCAAGAAAATCTCTGCTACCTCCCTATGCTGGACAGACCGCCCATCTGCATGGGCAGATGACCATAAACCTCCTTGAGGAGCAAGCAATGATCTCATCACAAGGCAAGCACAGCTTTAAACCTGCATAGCCTCTTGTAGAGAACTTTCTGCTGTAATCCATACAAAGATTAAACTCGCCAAGTGGAAGAGTTGCACACTTAAGCTCTTTCTGCATAAGGCTGTTGACCACTGAGCTGATATATTGAGGTCAAAGGCTCATCTGTGCCAACACACTTCTTCGGGAATGTAAGTGTGGCTTTCATGCATACACACAGATATTACCCTGAGGAGCAGGGGGCAACTAGTTTAACAACAAGAAGTTTAAACTCAGCCCTTAGGCTGCACCAAAACTCCTGGGTTCCTACAGAAAGAAGGATCAACAGCAGTGAACATCTAGAGAAAGTGCTCACTAGCTTCTGCTGTGCACTGGCTTTTTTGGAGACTGTTTTTTGATTAAGAGAAATCTTGTTTAAAAATGAATCTGTTTTGCACGGACTGAGTTTTGCTCTCCAAGGAGATGGGGAAAGCAAAACCACACTAAACTGCAAAAACATCAGTGCCTAGCCATGAGCCCTGGCCTTTGCACAACTCCTGGTGGCTGTCCCTAAATGGGAGTACTTCATTGCCAGATGACGCATCCCAGACGAGATGAGTTTCCTGAAAAGCACTGACAACATGCCGCTAAAAGCTCAGTTCAGACAAGCAGCGAAACAAGTCTGCTTTCTGTTTTTTGAGCTGAATTCAACACTTTCCATGTTTGCTCTCTCACAGGTTATCTGGGCTGCACAATCAGCAAAACTCCTGCAAAACACTTGCTGAAGCTCAGCTACCAGGCAGTCTGTAATGGAGCTGTTCTGGAGGAAAACAGAAGTGTTATCGTGCTCGTGGCTGTCCCAATACAATTAGTCATACCTGATGGAGAGATACACATCCTTGCAGGGCTCTTACTGCCTTGTCAACAGATGAAGTCAAAATGAAAACATCCTAACGATCAACAACTAACCTGAAAGCTAAATCATGAATCCTGAAGACAGTCTCAATGCTACAAAGAGATGTCTTCCCTGTAGAAGAAGACAGCTGGGCTCCTTCCATCTGTCCTGTGATTCTTCTTCCCATATAATTTCTTGACATAGCTCAGTGAAGTAACATTTCTTCTTTCACCTCCCCATTCAAGCAATCCTTCTCTGCTCTGGTTGAGGGATGCTGTAGGGTCAGGAGAGGAAACCACACTCGAGGCAGGAAGAGGAAAAGGCCAGAGCTTAGGTGGTGGGAAACAACATCCCAGTCATCTTCTCTGCATGACCTCGGACAAGTTCCCCAATACTGTTTTGTCTCATTTCCCCACTGAAATAGCAAGTTTCCCACCATGCTGGCTGACTACCATGAGGATCTGCGTGGTAGGCCTGGTGTTACCAACCTGGGGTTAACATTGATAATAATCAGAGGAGACTGATGCTGTATCTAAGCTTCCCTTCCATTTCATGTCACTTGGTGATCTTCAACACAACCCAGACCATGATTTCATGCAGCACTTCTACATTTGTGCACTTCACAAACATCTCTGTTGGAGTCTTCTAGCTCCAAAGGTCTTGGCAAATATTCCACATCACAAGACCACCACTGCCAGGCTGGCAGCTTGGGAAATCCACCTTCTCTCTTCACCACTTAAGAGACACAATTTCACAAGACATATTTTTGCACTGACATTAATGAGTGATGGAGAAAACTGTCAAACAGATGAGTGGAGTTCAGCTCATGGTTGGTACGAGGGCAGAACATCAGAATGACACTCAGTCGCTCGACTTCTCTAGCTGAGATGTTACCTGGTCAGGAGGCAGCACACTGATCTTAGATGATGGTAGAGCTGGGAGCAGACACCCAGCAGTTCCTCTTGATAACCACTATGGAATTCAATTCATTTGGAAAAAAACTTCTTTTTCAGAAGCCTCCTCCCCAGCACTGACAACTCTTTTGAGATGCAATTTGCACTGCCAGGGCTCACAGCAAGGTGAAGCATGCCCTGCTCCACCTGCTCCTCCCTGAGGGTGGTCGGCAAGACAAGGAGCTGCTCAGTGGCTCCACATCGTTTCAGAGCTCATAACCAAACACAAATCTTCCAGATTTGGGTAATTCCCAGGCAAGTCTCAACCAAAACCACACATCTGCACTCACACCAAAGAGCACACACACAGCAAGAGCGAGGAGCAATTGCTGTAGGTTGCCATGGCAGTGTGCATGAATGATTTTATCACCCTTCTCAGCTGCAAAAGCATTTAGGCCCATTATCAGAGGATACTGTAGTATCTTTTTAAGGGTGCAATAGGTGGGAGAAACAGAAAATCAGTGTCAGCCAGAAGCAAGCATTCAGCACACAAAGCAGGAGCCCTTGCTTTGGGTGAGCTGCCTCCCAGAGGCACACGGACATTCATGCAGCCCCAGAGTCCTGTTGGAGCTGACCGGCGATGCTGGGCTCCCCAGCAGCTCTCCAGCCCAGGGAGTTCTCCTCTGCACAGAGGGATGAGCAGCCCTTCAGGGAGCACAGTGACAGTGAGTGGAGAGCACTCGCCTGTGCTCACTGCAGAGCCGATGGAAGTAGGTCAATCCTTCTGCTTTGCTGAACCTTTTGGCAGGTTGGTGCCGTGCTGCCGTTGCCACTCGCAGCTCGTCATTTCTGCCGCGTGACAGCCACGTCGTTCGGGAGTTAACGAATTCAATACATCTAATTAAATCAAACTTGGCATCCATTCAAAACCCATCTCGCAGTTTTTTTTTTTCTTTGCCTTTTTTATTCCCTGCTGCTGGTGGTGAGAGACCCACGAGAGGAGAGATGTAAGAGAGGGTTGCTAAGGGGCAAGTCAGTTTTTATCTCTTCTTTTATCTCAATTTTTTATCTTTATCTTTTTTATCTTATCTCTTTTTTTATCTGTTCTTTATCTCAGTTTTTATTTCCCTGCTCCTCTCCTGTCACAAAATCACAGAACAACTATGGTTGAGAAAGACCTCCAAGATCATCAAGTTGTTGCAGAGATGCTTTGTTTTCCTTGAAGGAATGCAACAAACCCACATGATTTGTTACCTTTTCCCTCCTCCCCTGCCCCAAACAAAATGACCTTTTCCATCTTCCTGCAGGTTTTGCAAACAGAGTCCAACACACCCTGGACTCTGTGTGATGGGAGTAGAGGGTACCAGTTCAAGGCAATTACTTTGACTGCTGTGAAACAGCACAACCTCCCCAACACCACCACTGTCTGTCAGAGTCAGTCCCACGTGCTGACTTGCTCTGTCACACATTACATGTACGTTTACATTTCTCTGCGTTTCTTTCACGCTGATCAGGTATGAGCAGGGCAGTTACGTGCCCTCCGTACGACAGAAGCCTGTCCCAGGCATGCCAGTGGTGCCAGGTGCTGCATGAACGCAGTGGAAGAGGCAGCCTTGGAGGAGATGTGGGTGACTCCAAGAGAAGCCAAAAAGACCAAAAGCCACATGACACTGAGTTTCAAGCAGTGGTCCCTTGCACTGCTCAATTAAGTAGCAACTGTCTCTTGAAGAGCAAAGAGCAGTGAGAGATTCTGGTGGGTTTAACACTGGGAATGATGGGAGCTGCTCTGACTTATCAAACAGAGAAAGGAACAGGGTAATCACTAAGTACAGAGCAAACGTCTCTTTGTAGCGGGTTTTGCAACTGGATTTCTTCAAAGGATGAGGTGGTGTAAGAAAGTCTCATCTCCGTGTTGCACATTATTGCTCTAATCAGGAAGGATCCAGTTTACAGTAATGTGATCTGGACTGCTGAAACACATCAGGTTCTAACCTCTACAGCACAGACCTAGGAGCTGTTGGAGTACACACAGGAGAGCAGTGATTTGCACTTCCAGGGTTAGAAAGAAACCAGAAGCTTCCTCTGGTACTCACAAACATATAGCAAGTGAGTGTAAGTGAGACAGTGTCCTCAGAGGAAGAGCAATCAGCTCAGCATCTCCTTCGCACTCAACTGTTTTCTCTTGAATGAACTTCAGATGCAAGGAAGGTCAAAAAGACTAACTAATGTATTTGCTTTTTTACAACATCTAGGTACACATAGGGCCAAATGGAGGACAGCTGAACAACCCATGTGTCCTTGGAACAAAAAGCATCAGCTAGGGAGCTTCACCACCCCTTCAGCAGCAATTTCTCTCTCTTGTATCTTCTTCTCTCCCAGTCCTAGATGGTGAGAACAAAGAAAATTGGCAAAGATAGGAGAAAAAATCCAGAGTGGACCAGCGTTCCCAGTGTTCCCTCCCTCAGGTCTTCCAGACAACACAAAGCAATGAACATCAGCCTGCCTCAGGGCTGGTCTGGGTCCTACCATGGCTGCTTCCAACCCCAACTCAGTCAGGACCAGCCTGGCCCGCATGGAATCCCCATCCTCCCCACTTCCAAAAACAGGATCCTCACCATCCCCGAGCCCAACCTAGCACTCTTACCAACATCTACAAAGCACTGAAACAACAGAGCAGCACAGGGCAGCCTGTGAGTGATTCAGCCAGCCCAAGGCCGAAGGCTGGGACATTTCATACCACCACTGCCAATGTCTCCATTGCTGGCGGGAGCCCTGTGTGGCCACGACAGGAAATCGGGTCTTAATCACCATCTCACCTTTCATTTCCCACTTCAGTTCTGCTATTTTAGCAGCTGCTGTGAGCTGGCTCCACACTTTCAGATGAGCAACCGTTGGGGCACAGGGTTTAGCTTGAGTATTTTCAGGCTGCAACTCCAAATGCAAAGAGAAACATGAGGCTGGGGAGGCTGGGGGGTAACAATCAGGAGTGATCAAGGCTTTAAGACACAACCAAGCAAGCGCCAGCCTCCTGCCCAGGCTGACACTGCCTAGGACAGGTAGCCAGGCTGGTAAGGCCATGTGGGCAGGACACTGGCAATGTATGCACCAACTGATTGGGCTTGCTGCCCACTTGGGACAGTTGTGTGACATGGTCCACTGCAGATGTGTGTCCAGGTGCTTCCCCTCCTCCTTGTTCATGATACATCTATAGATCTGCTGCAATAGCAGGGCTGGGCTGTAGCAGCTAACTGCTCAGGCTCTGCAGCAGCCAGGGAGAACTCCCCTTGCAGGGGGGAAGTCTGCTGCCACCATAACCAGTGCAGGTGGTAGAGTTAGCCCCTGTACACCTGCACCAAGGACTATCTAAAAGGGAGAAGGTGCTGGGACCTGAAAAGAGACATGTCCAGAGCTCACTGGCACAACCATCCCTGTGCACCAGCACAAGAACACTCGACAAGTGCCCATCAGCTCACACTCCCCACAATCACATGGCCTGTGGACCTCCAGAGGCAGCAGCCCAGGAAAACAAGAGGTTGGGTTTTGTGCCTTACTTTAGTTGCTTCCTCCTTTGGCAGCTTCTCAACTCAGACACAACTGGAGTTAATGAGAAAGCAACTCCAAATCTCTCCAGCCCTGAGCACCTAAGAGTTTGACTCTATGATCCTTGTGGGCCCCTTCAAAGTCAGAATATTCTGTGATTCCCAGGAAAGGATGACTGAAGCAGCAGGGCTTACAGGGATGCTAACACAGAAGAGATTCCCACAGCCAGCAGTCCCACTGCCTCCCCTCCCCCTCCTCCCTTCATCAGGAAATTTAGCAAAATTAAGATCATACAATCACAGAATGGTTTGGGCTGGAAGTGACCTTCCAAGACCACCCAGTCCAACCCATCTCTCATGGCCATGGGCATCTTCCACTAGATCAGGTAGTTCAAAGCCTCGTCCAAACTGACCTTGAACACTTCCAGGGATGGAGCATCCACAACTTCTCTGATCAACCTGTTCCATTGTCTCACCACCCTCATTATAAAAAATTTTCCTCTTATGTCCAGTCTAAACCTGCTCCCTTTCAGTTTAAAACTGTTGCTCCCCATCCTGCCATGACAGGCTGTTCCCTTCTTTCTTATAATCCATTTTTTAGATATTCAAAGGCCACAATAAGGAGGCCTTTTCCTTTCCTCTGCTTTCCTTGGAGCCTTCTCACCCTTAGGCTGAGCAACCCCAACTCTCTCAGCCTGCCTTCAAATGTTAACACCGCAGAAGGACCCAGACACCTTCACATACTTCCAGGCAAAGAAAATCAGCAAACATCCCTCTTGAACACAGTGCCCACAATACCAGCAGTCAACAAAACTCCTCCTTGTTCACTGTCAGTACCAAGA